GCCATTAGGCAGGTCCAGGGAAGCCAGGTGGGACTGAAATTAAACGGGACACATCAGCTGTTAGCATATGTCAATGATGTGAATCTGCTGGGTGATAATATAGATACCATAAAGAAAAAAACACAAACTTTAAGTGACGCAAGTAAACAGGTTGGTCTATAGTAAACACAGAGAAAACTAAGTATACATTGCTGTCTTGTCACCAAAATGCAGGGCTAAATCATGACATAAAGATAGGAAACATATGTTTTGAAAATGTGGCATAGTTCAGATATTTGGGGAGAACAATAACAGATTGAAACCTGTTTCAGGAGGAAATTGAGAGGAGACTGAACTCGTGTAATGCTTGATACAATTCAGTCCAGAACCTTTTGTCTGCTTGTCTGCTGTCCAAAAACATAAAAATTAGAATAAACAAAACTATAATTTTGCCTGTGGTTCTGTATGGGTGTGAAACTTGGTCTCTGACATTAAGGGAGGGACATAGACTGAGGGTGTTTGTATACAGGGTGTTGAGCAGAATATTTGGATCAAAGAAAGACGATGTGAGGGGAGACTGGAAAAAACTACATAATGAGGAGCTTCATAAATTGTACTTTTTTCCAAGTATAATTAGAATGATCAAGTCAAGGAGGATGAAGTGAGCAGGGCATGTAGCACGAATGGGGGAGACAAGGAATGCGTACAGAATATTGGTGGAAAAGCCAGAAGGAAAGAGACCACTGGGAAGACCAAGGTGTAGGTGTGTGGACAATATTAAAATGGAACTAGGATGGGATGGTATGGATTGGATTGATCTGGCTCAGGACAGGGACCAGTGGAGGGCTCTTGTGAACACGGTACTGATCCTTCGGGTTCCATAAAATGCTAGGAAATTCTTGAGTAGCTGCAGAATTGGCAGTTCCTCCAGAAGGGCTCAGCTCCATGAGTAAGGAAGTAAGTAAGTAAGCACATCATTTATCTAAGGAATATGTCCAGGTCTGAGGCTTCCTGTGATCTTCTGTAACAAGCTTATTTTTTATGGTGAGGAATTGTTAGCCACATGCCCAACCCCTAAGCTAGAGAACCACTCCTTGATGGCTGCCCAGGGCTGCTTATTCAATATATTCGCATCTACCCACCATATCTGAAGGCTGTTTCCTCCATCTGCAATCTGAGGATGCACCACACTGTGGTGACAAGGAACCCAACTAACATTGTACCATCACACCCAGTGAACAAAATTAAAGACACCTTAAGGAGAATGGATCAACATTCATCAGATTCAACATGCTCAGAAATAAAATGGTTAATCATCACCAAGGGTCTAGTTATGACAAAGCCTCATTAAATAGAAATGTATGTAACAGGACATACAAGTTACATACTCTAAATGAAACTGGTTGAGGAAAGAGCCCCTGGTACCCATTTGACAGGAGGCTGGGTGGGCTCCAGGGCCAGTCTGGATGATGTGCAGAAGAAAAACTGTCTTACCCCTGCCATAAACCAAACCCCAATTCCTCAGCTGTTTAGCTTGTAGCCATGTCACTATACTGACTGAGCTAGTACCACTTTCAAGTTAAATCCTGATTTCAAGTGACCACCATATTGTACTGTAACGGCGCAAAGGTCAGGTACTTGTAGATATAGTTTTTTAGGTAAATTTGGAATAATAGTAGCAAGACTGTAAGAGTAAGAAACTGCCATGATGAAACGAACCAGGAAGCTTGGGTTTACAAAGACGTGTAACAGGCAATACATGCTAGCATGACAGCGTAATAACGCTGACATTGAGGAAGAAGCTATATTAAGTAGGTCATAAACACTATGGCAGGAGGAAAACGCTGAGTCAGAGAGGGCGGTAGGCCTGAAAGAGTCAACCCCTTCTCGATAGGCAACCAATGAGGGGGCCACACCAACCCAAAATCACGTCAGAATGGGCAGGCCAATATACCTGGAACACGAAGTATCAGCAAAGAGAGGTTATATAAACCCTAGAAGACTTAATCAAAAAACCTTTTACCTTTTGACTTTTTAATATTATTATGTGACAGAGAGTTCAGCCAGAGGCTGTCGCCGAGAGGGCGATGGCCATGAGTGGGCATTGGTTGGTGATGGCAAGCGTCTGTTTCTTCAAGCTCAAGTAAGTGAAACCAACTTCATATAGCCATGAACATTAAGTGTGATAGTGACAATTGTAAAGTGTAAACCCCAGAGAAAGATAGTGCTAACTAGATGGACTAGGTTCATTCAGAAATACAGAGGCGTAGAATACCCGACAGTAGGGTGACAGGAGGTAGACTTAATGATGGCTGCAGGTTCATTATCCAGTGTAATACAACCGACGAACGTCAGTAAGAGTGTATATAGTATGTATATAGTGACATAGGGAAATAGAATAGGATAGGCATGTGTGAGAGTTTACTTCAACCTAGCATTTCCTTAAGTGTACCCTCTTCCCTGACGACTCCAGGACCTTCCAAAGCTTCGGCGAATTATGAGTTAAGCCAGGACAGTGACGTAAGCAATGATAAGTTTACTAGTTTTCTTGATATAACAAGATGGTGGCAGCATACTAAACCGGGTGACAGAGCAGGATACTTCCACGCCCCCTGTCACCACGGCATAATAGAGGTGTAGCGGCACCATAACAGTGAAGACAGCGGTGAGATAACCCATCCACCCGTCGTAAGGGCGTAACAGTGGTGGAAGCGGTGGGAATACCTCCACGCCATAACATGTACAAAATAAAAAAATAACAAAAGTGGCACTTACCATCATATAAATTACATGGTGGGTGACATTTTCTCCTCAGTAGTTAGCAAGATCAAAAGGCTGATAATATCAGTGGTAGTAAGAAATTGGAGTGGCCTCATATAATTCTTACCATATGATATAAAAATCCACTGACTAGTTCAAAGTCATTAGGAAATACATACACTTCATCAATTGTAAAGATTATGTAACAAGCCATGTGTTATGATAATGAGAATTTTCCTGGATGTGAGGGAAATGGCTAAAAAATGGCATGTCTGCCATAAACAGCCCAATCAAAGTATCAGAAGCAGTCCACAGAGCATTCAGAAAGATCTGTACTATATCCCAACCTCTCTACACACATTTCCTTCTCCTGACAATTCCGCATTGCAAACGAAACCTCCAAAGCAACTTCAGTAATTCCTTCCACAAAGTTTCTTACTTTTATTTGTACCTGCTAGTATTTGTTAACACAGCACAAAATAATTGTAATCTATGATAATACTACCATGAATGTCCATAGGTTAGATGAGTTATAAGAAGAAAAATTACTTCACCTAGTAATTAAATGAACAAGAGTTTAATAACAAGCAAACAGAAATGCATACACCTGAGCCTCAGTTTCATTTTGTTGTGCTTTGCTTTTTTTGAAACTGTTATGGAAAATAGTCATTGATCAAATTCTTGCAGAACTGATCCAAGCAGGAGCAGGGAGTGCAACTGGTATAAGGACTGGTTACGGGTACCAGGGGCTCTTTCGCTCGGGGTTAAAGCAGCCAGAGCATGCTGACCACTCAATTCCAGTTAGACCAAGGTCAAGCAAATGTGGATCTATACATCCATCCCGGAGCCAGGATAGCACAGTTGGTATAGCAACTGGCTACGGGCTGGATGACCAAGGGGTTGGAGTTCAAGTCCTGGTGTAAGAATTTTCACTTCTCCACAACATCCAGACCAGTTCTGGGGTTCACCCAACCTCCTATCCAATGGGTACCAGAGGCTCTATTCCCAGGGTAAAGGGGCTGATGCATGAAGATGACCACTCACCTCCAACCAGTACCAAGGTCAAGAAAATGTGGATGTATATATCTACTCCCCCATACACCTTCATGGCATAGTGCTTAATTTACTAAGCACAGGGACAAATTTACCTTACCTTTATACATCCACTTCCCCATATGCCTTCATGGTGTAGTGCTTAATTAGTTAATTTTCTGTGCCATCAAGTGTATTTGTAATGCAGCATTTCTTGAATGACCATTCCACTGTTTCTCCTGTGAGCTTCCAAGCAGCCAAGGTCGATTCTTTTAAGTTCTGAAAAAGATGGCCTCTTGATCTCACCAGATGTTACTGGTAGATTTTCAGATAGCAGCCAAGCCTCATATTCCTTTCTTAAATAATTTTTAAATGGTTTATTATCTGAACATTAAGTGGTTCAGTTGGTTGGTCATGCCTCCAAGAATCACAAACAAGTCTTCCTTTCAAGTTTAACCTTCGGTTTCTGACTGCCAAAAATTATAGGCCAATTAGCTGGTTCCATTTAAAGTTTTAATTTATTTATTCAGCTTGACTGATGTGTTAACGTAAGTAACAAATTTAGTTTCATTATTAACATTCATCCGCCATGTGGGCAAATCAAAATACGTTATAAATTCATTAATACTACATGATAAGTAAGAAATTCCCTCTATTAAGCATAGCAGGGCCATGCTGGGCACCTATATCTACAAATCCGTGTATTACAGAAGGTGCACTTTGTCACAGTGGATATTTCATACTTATGTTGGATACAGCATTTGTACATCACTCACACAATACATAATCGGTTCCCAGAATTCTGCAGATCCATTAACTGTAGATAAAGGTAAGTTGTCCCTGTGTTTAATTAATTAAGCACTACGGCATGAGGGCGTATGGGGGTGTGGACGGTTCTGAGCTTTAGTCTTTTCTCCAATTTGTTCATTATATGCATAAATGCGCAATCTATTTCCATGAAAATCACGACTTAATAGGCGTCAATGCATGTGCAAGCTGAACAACTCCGTTTGTCTCCTGCATCATTCGGTAAAAATAACCGCAAAACTGCCCATCATAGGCTAGAATATCCGATTTTTGCTATTACACAATCATGGTCCTCTGACTGCCACTTAACTTCAAAATGAAGAGTGACTATAACAGTTTCTCCTGGTATACGATATAAATCTGAGGTCCTTATAGATATTCGAACGATTCGAGTATACAGTATATTCTTAACCTGTACATACCAATTCAAGAACACACAGATACAAACACTCTCTATCTCATTTCTCAGCCCAAACACAGACATATTTCATACCCCTCAAACACTTCAAATCACGGTTCCATACCACTGCACCCAGTACATTCCATGGTCCTCTTTCATACAGATATCCTACCGCTAGATGGTACTGCCGGATAGGCATTGCCTTAGACCCCTTGGCCATTTATGTACATACACTTGTATTTTATTTTTTCTAATTTCGGAAAAAAAAAGTGAGGTTAAGGTTCTTGAGGTGTTGACTATGAAGGTTACTTCTTATTCGCGGCCCGTCGGGTTGTGAAAATAAGAAGGATATGAAGTCAGAAGTTTGCCGACACTAAGGGGGAGCATATCGCATCCATCTTCAAGGCTGAAGAGCAAAACCAAACAGCAAGATCGAGACAGGCACGTTCCTCCATAACGTTGGTAAACTTATACCAGATTACACGGCATCATATGTCGGGAGAAGTACCCTAATGTTAAATTTCGTAGTGTTTATATAGATTAATTGTGCTTCATGTCTGGTTACTGTTGAGGTGGTAAAAATACCCGACAATACTTACTCTATACTACTGTGTAACCAGAAGCATTAATTGAATAAAGTTGTCCCTGTTCTTAACTAAATAAAGCACTACGCCATGAAGACGTATGGGGGAGTGGATATACAGACACATGTTTCCTGGACCTCAGCACTACTTGGAAGTGAGTGGTCAGCTTCACGCCCCGGGGAAAGAGCCGCCGGTACCCACTGTATAGGAAGATGGGTGGGCCCCGGAGCCGGTCTGGACGACGTGGAGAAGGGAAAATTCTAGACCCAAGTGGGACTCAAACTCTGACCCGTTAGTCATCCACCCTGTAGCCAGTCGCTATACCGACTACACTATCCTGGCTCCCAGCATTAATTTAGAATGAACCTTTTTCATGTGGAATTCACCTCTTATCGGAAGAATGTCCTGAATGTTAAGTACATGCAGCTGAGTCCTGGAGAAACTAACAGTTGCTCAACCACATATAAATTTCCCAATATTTTACATAACCCAAAGGATCATTACAGTGATCACAAGAGACCACCACTGGCCCCTACTGTGAACCAGATGAAAGTTAGTTGAACATAAAATGTGGGATGTCATATATATATAGAATAGTATAAAGTACAACTGTAGCTTTCACATAAAATAATGCAAATGTGGTATATAAAATACACAGAGGCTACACATAAAATACAAACAAATACTTTTCACTTATATTATTTATACAAACCTTTGAGTAGATGAAGGTCTGAGGCTCTGTGTACATTTTCGTAAAAAGCCTGTTTCTTTATAGTGAGGAGCTGTTAGCCCCACGCACCAACCCCCAAGCTGGAGATCGCCCCTTATCAGCTGTCCACGACTGCTTGTTCAATATATTCGCAGCTTCCCTCCCTACTTGGTGGGCGTCTCCTCCATCTGCAACCTGAGGACACGCCATGCCATGGTGACAAGGGTCCCGCCTAGAAGTATGTATAGGGAAGGTTTGTTCAGGGCAGTGGTGGAAGAAATCTCAAAATATAAGTTAGATTTAGCGGGAGTACAGGAGGTCAAGTGGGACGGAGGTGGCATCGAACCAGCAGGCGAATATACATTTTCCTATAGAAAGGGGAATGAAAATCACGAATTGGGTCAAGGTTTTTTCCTACATAAGAGAATTGTATCAGCAGTTAATTAGTGATATTATATTGTAACGGACGAAGAATAGTCGCTGCAAGAGGAGTAGCCGAAACAAAACGAGACACAACAAGCACAGCAACGGGAAGGAACGGGGATGTACCGTTAGGCTGTTCGGGATGAACAACCTTTAGAAGGGAGCAGTGTGACGTGGATGGCGCAACGGGAAGTGGGGGTCACGTGAACTCTGCGTCTCGCGAGTGACGTCACCTACCCACACTCCTTCCATTAGTACACAACGCTCAGTGGGCGCCCCCTCCCCGCGGTGACGTGGCAGCGCTTCCCACGGTGACATAGTGGAGGATGACGCGGTTGCTATGCAGCAGTAAACTCTCAACAGCGTTGCCCAGCCCACAGGGCATGACTGTAAACTGCCATAATCCTTGCCCTGTTGAGAATGCGGTTTTCTCCTTATCGTTCGGGTGTACATCTACTTGCCAGTATCCGCTTTTCAGATCGAGAGTGGAGAACCACTTGGCTCCGGCCAGCGTGTCTAGAGTAACATCAATCCGGGGTAGTGGAAAACAGTATTTCTTTGTGACATCATTTAACTTTCTGTAATCCACGCAGAAACGGAGTTCTCCATTCTTCTTCTTGACCAGAACGACGGGGGACGACCATGGGCTGTCTGATTCCTCGATATCGTCGAGCATCTCGCTGACCTCTGCTTGCTTTGCTAGGGGCAGCCTCCTTGGGTGTTGGTGAATAGGTCGGGCGTCACCGGTATCCATACGGTGATACACCTTGTTAGTCCTCCCATAGTCATTATTTCCAGCAAAAATATCCTGGTACTCGGTCAGGTTTCTCCCAACTCATGAAATTCTTCGTTGGTTAGGTGTGGTTTGACTTCTGCGATTATGTCCTCTAGTCTTGGAATTGGGTCTGTTTCACATCTGGCGTAATCACTAGCGTGACTGGCTCACAATGTGCCAAAGTAGATCCTCTCGTGACCCTCACTGGTACCACCTGGCGATCTTGAACTAAGGTTCTAGCTACGTAGATTCCTTCAGGCGGAGGGGCCTGAGGGTTTGGTTCTGCCAGTCCATTTTCTACTCCGAGGGAGTTCTCCATTCTGGCCATTGCTATTCCCTCACACTGTGCGGGTATTGCGTGGTCCTTAGCCACTATTAAGCTGGAAGGACGGGGTCCCGCCCCTGGAGTCCATAACGTTACTTCTTCTTTTGCCAAACGCAGCGTTTGGCGCCCTATGTCCACAGATGCATCGTAGGCGCGTAGTATGTCCAGTCCTAGAATTAACTCATTGGTGATATCTGCGATGAAAACCCACGTTTTGAGTGATCGCTGCCCCAGGGTCAGAGTTAGAAAAACTTCTTTCCGGATGGGGTTTCTCCAGATACCGTTTGCAGCGTGAAACGTTGGTACGGTTCTCTTTCGGGTCATCCGTCGGCGATGTGTGGCCTAGCCACAGTTACATACGCTCCGGAATCTATGGTCACAATGCACTGTTTGTCACCGACAGTCACCGACCCAGCTTTGGGTAACCAGACTAGGATCGGAATTTTCCGTGATTACGGTCAATGCGTGATGGAGGGGCTTTAATGCATACGCCGGCGTTCGCCCTTTTTCGCCGGCCGTGCTCGTTTCCCGACAGTTGGGTACCCTTGCTGTTCATGTGTTCGTTGTGGCTTCCTGGTAATTCCCGTGTGTATCTGCCTGGACTATCTTCATGATCTTCATATTCTCGGCACATTTCATTATTAGCATTCCTTTCGTGGGGGCAGTTATTCCCGAAGTGGCCCAGTTCTCCACAACTCCAGAACCCTGACTGTCTTCCGTCACTTCGTTGGGTGGGGCGCGATTGGTACTTCCGGTATGTCTTGGTGCTATCTCTGTGAGGTCTGGCTGCTACCAGTACCGCCTGCAGCTCTAGTGCTTGTCGGAGGGCCTCGTTTACAGTCTTCTCCCCTCCCAGCAGCAGCTGAATCTTTATATTGGCATCTCGTAGTTTGTTAAATAAACAAATTAACAATCTGAACGGCGTCTTAAGTGGCAAAACACGTTACAATATATAATACTAAAAGGTCGCTGGTGTGATATCATCGTCCTGAATGTTCACGCCCCAACAGAAGATAAAATTGATGATATAAAGGGCAGGTTCTGTGAAGAACTACAACATGTACGAGTATCTGATAAATCCATACCATATGAAAATATTGTTAGGATATTTCAATACCAAAGTAGGGAGGGAAGACATTTTCAAACCAACGACTGGGAATGAGAGTTTACATGAAATTAGTAATGATAATGGAGTAGTTAACTTTGACACATTGTCAGGAAAGTACAATGTTCCCACATCGTAACTTCCATAAATTTACTTGGACATCTCCTGATGGGAAGATACACAATCATATTGACCACATTTTGATAGGTAGGAGACGGCATTCAAGTTAACTTCGGTTTTCTACACTGGAGCCGCTCCTCAGTTATCCTCACAAGGCTGAGTGGACCCTGTTCCAGACCCACTACTTCTCACAAAATCTGGTAGTGCCAGGAATCGAACCTGGGACCTCTGGATCTGTAGCCAGGAACTCTGACCACTAGACATATTACGTACTAAGATCCATAAGCTAATTACTTCTATTTGGCATTAAGAAAACTTGCCTGATCAGTGGAAGGAGTCTGTTATTGTACCAGTTCACAAGAAGGGTGATAAAACTGACTGCAGTAATTACCGGGGGATATAACTGCTATTAACTTCATACGAAATTTTGTTCTCAAAGGTATGTCCATACATAAATGAAATTATTTGGGATCATCAGTGTGGATTCCGACATAACAGATCAGATCTTTTGCATTTGTCAGATATTGGAGAAAAAACATGGAGTACAGTCAGACAGTACATCAGCTAAGCTTCAAGAAAGAGCAAAGTTTTCCACATCTTTAAAAATTTAGAATTAGGGCAGTCATAAAATGTAAAAATTAGTTAAAACTGTTTATATTATATTCAGTTAGGAGGGAAGTACTGTACAATATTCTGATAAGAGTTTAGGGTACCCATGAAACTAGTTAGGCTGATAAAATATGTTTAAGCGAAACGTATAGTAAAGTCCATATACGTAAACTTTTGTCTTATAAAATTCCTATCCAGAATGGTCTAAGACAAGGAGATGCTTTATCGCCACTACTTTTCAACTTTTCTTTAGAATATGCCATTAGAAATGTCCAGGAAAACCAGGTGAGACTGAAATTAAACAAGACACATCGGCTGTTGGTCTATGCCGATGATGTGAATCTACAGGGTGATAATATAGATACCATAAAGAAAAACACATAGACTTTAATTGACACAAGTAAGGAGGTTGGTGTAGAAGTAAACACAGAGAAAGTAAGTAAAGCTATCCCTGTAACAGGCCGTGAAGAACCATAGGGTTGTGAAACGTTGAGAAACACAGAGAAA